AAAAAAAAAAAAAAAAAAAAAAAAATTTTTAATTTTTAATTTTTTGGGATACACTGAGTGCTTCTATCTTCTAAGACCAGGGAGAGGGTAGTATGGAGGTGGTGGAGGCTGATACACGCACATGTAGATGTTGTGTGAGTTGCCCAGGGTGTAGTAAGCTCTGGCAACTGCTGCTTGGCTTTGGTTGCAGGAGTGGAGGGAATTGTGGGGCTTCTGACAGGAGGTTCCAGGGCCCCAGGATAGGGCAGTGCCATGGGGTTGCACCTATCTCATGGCCTTATCCCTGATGGGAGGTCCTGGATAGAACTCAGGTGGAGGTGGTGGATAGGAGAACACAAGGGCAGGAGTACATTCCATTGCAGCTGGTGATGGGAGGCATAGGCCCCACCAGGCATGTAAAGAGTATCTATAGGCTCCACTGGGGGCTTACCTCTGGAGGCTTAAAATGCCACCTGTAGGCCAGGCGTGGTGGCTCATGCCTGGAATCCCAGCACTTTTCGGGAGGCTGAGGCAAGTGGCTCACCCGAGGTCAGGAGTTCAAGACCAACTTGGCCAACATGCTGAAACCCCATCTCTACTAAAAATACAAAATTTAGCTGGGTGTGGTGGCACATGCCTGTAATCCCAGCTACTTGGGAGGCTGAGGCAGAAGAGTCGATTGAACCTGGGAGGTGGAGGTTGTGGTAAGCCGAGATTGTGCCATTGCACTCCAGCCTGGGCAAAAAGAGCAAAACTTTATCTCAAAAACAAACAAACAAACAAAAAAAAAACAACAAAAAAAAAGCCACCTGTAGCACCCATTGTCCAAACTCAATTATGCTCCCTGCTGTAAAGGTATGAAGCAGAGCCTTCCCAGTCACCTCCTGCTTCACTGTTGCCTTAATGTAGTTTGGACTAAACACAAGCTGCTTGATCCTCATAGTCCTTCATCTGATAAAATGGCATCATGAAGGACTGCATGGCATCCTTCCTTGGGACAGAAAGATGACCTGGTAAGGAATAAGGTAAATTGTACCTTTCCTGGTCCTTCTAAAGGCCTCTGGCATCTTCTTCATGTCATTGAATGTAAGCTCCACATGGCCATAGGACATAAGGCTGCTCATGCTTTTGCTGCTCATCACTCTGCTGCCCTCTGAGCAATTCATGTTGAGTGCCTTACTCTCTCCTGTATATTCTTATTCTGATGCCCTTTTGCACAGCTCCTTTTCCATATCAGGTTACTTGAACAATAATCTACTTTTGCCTTTCAGGGATTATATGGAATAAAAGAAGAACTGTTTCTCAGTATCCCTTGTGTCTTGGGGTGGAATGGTGTCTCAGATGTTGTGAAAATTAACTTGAATCCTGAGGAGGAGGCCCTTTTCAAGAAGAGTGCAGAAACACTTTTGAATATTCAAAAGGATCTGAAATTTTAAAGCCTTCTAATGTTCCACTGTTTGGAGAACAGAGGATAGTTGACTGTATAAATTTTGAAAGTATTTTCATTTGATCTTTAAAAAATAAAAATTGGAGACCTATGACATAACTCCATTCTCTCAAGGTTAGAATGAGAAAGTGGTAGAGATTTTCCTCTTTGCGACTCCTTTATAGCTCTATTCTAATGATACCCAATCTGTACAGGTATAAGTTATACTTCTGAGGTGTCATATATGTAAGAGTGCCTTCAGATGTAGAATATGTATAATCATTATAATATAGAACTTTGATTCTTTTCGCAAACCAACCCCTTTTTCTAGTATTACAATTTTATCTTGTACTTTTGTCCATTAGAGTATCAGCATATTCATTTCATATTGCATTAGTGTCCTATGTTTATGCATAATCATTATAAATGCTGCTGGGCATGGTAGCTCATGCCTGTAATCCCAGCACTTTGGGAGGCCAAGGTCGGTGGATCACCTGAGGTCAGGAGTTTGAGACCAGCCTGGCCAACATGGTGAAACCCTGTTTCTACTGAAAATACAAAAAAATTAGCCAGGCACAGTGTGGGGTGCCTGTAATCCCAGCTTTTTGATATATATGGTCTTTAAAATAAGCATTTATAATTACTTTTTTTTTCAAGACAGTGTCGCTTTGTTGCCCAGGGTGGAGTGCAGTAGTGCAATCTCGGCTCACTGCAACCTCACCTCCTGGGTTCAAACAATTCTCCTGCCTCTGCCTCCCGAGTAGCTGGGATTACAGGCACACACCACCACGCCCAGCTAATTTTTGTATTTTTAGTAGAGACAGGATTTCACCATGTTGGCCAGGCTGGTCTCGAACTCCTGACCTCAAGTGATCTGCCTGCCTCAGCCTCCTAAAATGCTGGGATTACAGGTGTGAGCAACTCCACCCAGCTGATTGTTGACTAATGTTTGATAACAGTCATTATTAGCTCCCTTTTGGTGTCTAAAGGTGAAGTGCTTCTGCTGATTTATATAGTTACTGAGTACCAGCTTGGTCAGGAGACCCCCACCCAGGCGGCACTGAAGGTAATGAGAGGCAGACACCCAGATAGAACAACAGAGTGGATCTCTCCAGGGGACCAGCAGCCTATTGAACTGAGAGCCTCAGGGGCTAACAGCATTCCTGGCTGAAGGCCCTGAGCAGATTCTCATCCACATATTTATTCTCTCTTAACAGGCGATTCTTATTAAAAACAGGTGTTCTGTATTTACTCATAACATAAATATTCCAAGTAGGCAGCTGTTACCTGCCTACTACTAATTACAAACTAAAAGGTATTCTACACAAGGGAGCCACGGGGGCAGAACAAACTGAATGTTCCTCAACATATAGTGTATCCATACATATGAAATATTTCCTCGATTCCACAAAGAATTTAAGGCAGCTATTGGAGCTATACAATACAATAAAAAACTAAGAAATCATTTTTTTCTTTTTTTAGACAAGGTCTTGTTCTGTCACCCAGGCTGGAGTGCAGTGTTATAATTGTGGCTCACTGAAGCCTTGAACTTCAATGCTCAACAGATCCTCCCACCTTAGCCTCCTGAGTAGGTGGGACTACAGGCACATGCCACCATATCCTGCAAATTTTCATATTTTTTTGTAGAAAGGGTTTTGCTATGTTGCTCAGGCTGGTCTTCAACTCCTGGGCTCAAGGGGTCCTCCTGCCTTGGCCTCCCAAAGTGCTGGGATTACAGGCATGAGCCACCACTCCCGGCCAATTTACAAATTTTGACTAAAACTAGATCAGTGGGAAAGATTAGAAGGTAGATATGCAGGCCCTGAGGACTCACATGACTAGTGGAGGCAGATTCATTTGGTCAGAGAGTCATGGTTTACCCTCAGTTGATTATTCTTACTGTCTTGATAGCTTTCATTCTGGTCATCTATTCCTGAACATGATTAGTTTCCCATTATTTTATTCTTTTCCCTTTTTCTTCAGAATCTTCCCTTGAATGTATAAAATTATTATCAGTTAGGATGGGGGCAAGGGGAGTCTTCTGTAGGTTTTGGCTTTTTTCAAAGCTCATTTGTACAGCAAAACTTCATTTTAGGAAATTCTTGCAGAGATTAAAAAGCTGAAAAATTGATACAGTTTCTACAGGGAACATTCTAGTAAGTAAAACTGCTCTACATCATGTATTCTCAACAAGGCAATTTTTTCCTTACGTGGCTGAAAATTGGTTGTGGGGAGGAGGGAGGAAGGAAAAGATTTTTTAAAAATCGTAGATATTACAAGAGTTTGGCTCTCCAAAACTCAACCCTGCTTGACCAAATCTTAACTCCTTAATATTTAATTTCATGATGGGGGTGCAAAACAATTAGGGGGAAAATATCTACAAAGGCTCTTGAGGGAGTGATAATGAAAAAAGACTGAAAAACACTGCTCTACATTTTATAAAAATTTGTCAATGTGTATTACTGTATTAGGGTTCTCTAGCAGGACAGAATTAATAGGATGGAGATATATATATATATATATATATATACACACACACACACACACACACACACAAGTTTAATGAGGAGTATTGACTCACATGGTCACAAGGTGAGGTCCCACAATAGGCAAGCGGAGGAGCAAGGAAGCCAATCGGAGTTCCAAAGCTGAAGAACTAGGAGTCCGATGTTTGAGGGCAGGAAGCATCCAGCATAGAAGAAAGATGAAGGCTGGAAGACTTAGCCAATCTAGTCCTTCCACGTTCTTCTGCCTACTTTTATCCTAGGCACGTATCTGACTAGATGGTGCTCATCCAGATAGAGGGTGGGTTTGCCTTTCCCAGCCCACTGACTTCAAATATTAATTTCTTGTGGCAACACCCTCACAGACACACCAGGATCAACACTTTGTAACCTTCAGCCCAATCAAGTTGACACTTAATATTAACCAAAATTACATGATTCACAAATAAGTTAGAAAACAGGAAAAATGTGGTGGGAGAAATAGAAACTTTGGTTTATTCCAGACTGATTTTGGAGTCTATATTTTTATTTTTTATTTTTGAGATAGTCTCACTCTGTCACCCAGGCTGGAGTGCAGTGGCACGATCTTGGCTCACTGCAACCTCTGCCTCCCAGGTTCATAAACGATTTGTGTGTCTGAGCCTCCCAAGTAGCTGAGATTACAGGTGTGCACCACCATGCCCAGCTGATCTTTGTATTTTTAGTAGAGAGGCGGTTTCACCATGTTGGCCAGGCTGGTTTCAAACTCCTGACCTCAGAAAATCCGCCTGCCTCGACCTCCCAGAGTGCTGGGATTACAGGTTTGAGCCACCGCGCCAAGGCCAGAGTATTAAATTTTTACTTTTTCTACTTTAGCTCACAGCTGAGGTAATAAGTAGTCTTGAGGTCCCTTTCTCCTACAGTGCTGGGGAAAATTTTCCAAATGAGAGTCAAAAGGTCCTTTTCAGATACATCCAGACAAGATTTTGTTAGAAATAAAATTACTTGGGCTCTCTGGTGGATGGGTTCTAGGCTAACATCTCCACCTGACACCAGAGGCCCTGCAGTGCATTGTGCCTGCCGCACCTTGCGCCTCTTTTGCAGCGGGTCAACCACCTACCCCGCAGCGTGCCCACCTGCACGCGGGGGCGGGGCGGACAGGCAGAGGCGCAGGCGCAGTGCCCCACAGCCTGCTTCTGGCCTCTCACCTGCCGGGCCTCACACCTGCTGGGCATCATACCTGCGATGCCTGCACGAGCTGGGTGCGGTCTGCGCAGCTGCATTAAAGCGGTGACCCGGCGTCCGTCAGTCGCTGGTTGACCTTCGTGCCTTGACGAGCTTTACTCCATTCTCTTTCTTCACCTCTTGAGTGAGTGGCCATGAGCTGGGCTGCAAGTGTTCTGCGGAGCAGCCAGAGAGCGGGCGCCGCGGGAGCGGGTTGTTTTTGCCCAAGGATGGCTCCGTGTCTCCGCCAGGCGGTATGTGACCTGCTCGGGCGAGGATGGCCCTTCACCTGTGAGTGTGGCCTGCGGACCCTGGGTGCAGTCCTGCAGCTGAGAACTGGAGGCTGGGGGAAAAGGAGGGGAAAGGGAGAGAAAAGGGAGTCAGCTGCGGGACAGAGACCGTCCCAGCTGCAGTCTCATATTTGGTGGAGCAGCCCCTGTTCTTTCCTCTCTCTCTCTTAGCTCCTCTTAACTGTACTCACGCTTCCTTCTTCTTCTCCTGGTCCGCTTCATGGAGGCTGAGCTGCCTGGCTAGAACCTACCCAGCTTCTTTGCTGGTGAGATTTGTTGGTCTCTTGGGTGTCCGCAGCATCTCTTTCCGCGCGGGGGCCCAGGAGTTCTCCATACATGCTCTCGCCACAGACCAACTCGAGGTCTGGAAATGGCTGTGCAATTTGTTTTCATTGTTAGGTTTCCAGGATGGCAACTGTCAAGGGTGAACTTGTTAAGAATGTCGCTGAAGAGAAGGCCATTCATCACAATAAGATCTCCATTGTAGGAAGTGGATCGGTTGGTGTGGCTTGTGCTATCAGCATCTTATTAAAAGTAAGTGATGTGCTCTGCGCCACAGGATTCACCTCGTTTGGAGGCAAGGCCGCAGCACAGGGTTGTGCAGGTTGTGTCCAGCTCACGGGGTGAGTGGGGATCCAGCACAAGGGGAACCAGAGGAAAAGGTGCCCTTTTTAAAGTCGTTCCACCCAGAGGGGGTTCCTTTTTAAAAATTGTATGATATCACATGTTAGAAGCATCTCTGTGATATGTTGACATTTCACTTAATGACAATATAAGGTACCCCTTTGCTTGATTTGGAAACTCGGCTCACAAAACAAACTGGAGAAATAGGTGGCAGAAAAGAGTATACAAGCATGTCAGTGATGGTAGGCAGCCTACAAGTGCCAAATACAATAATCTTTTTCCCTTTAAACATTTCTCTACCATTTCCTAGTCTCTGTATCTGTATTTCCCTTTGTTCCTTGTTCATGTTAGGTTAGTTTTAGTGTTTAGTTGTTCTTAGTATTGATATAGCTGATAAAGTTTAATGGCTAGAGACAGGCCAAAAAAAGATTCAGACCCTTTCTAAAGATATTACCTTGATCTGAACTTTATTACCATAAAGTTTTAGTAAATCATAAGAAACTTTGAGCTACCTTTTACTAATGGAATATCTGTAAAATGTTTTAAGCCATCTTTTAGATAACCTTTAATTCTGGCCTGAGTCATTGGATTTAAAAGATTGGTTCTGGGTTTCATATCTAGATGATACAGTGACCTTATGGCACCAAGGATGGCAGCTGCAGCCAGCTGCTGTTTGTGCTAGCTGTACACATTCCCAGTGGTTCATTTTGTCCTACCTATTGTAATGCCTTTATCAGCAGTGTCCTCATTGCTAATGAAGAATACGCACATGTGAAAACCAACGCATTTGTGACTGACTGTTTGATGGGACCTCCATGTACTTCCCCAGGCTGATCTCAAACTCCTGGCCTCAAGCAATCCTGCCTTGGCTTCCTAGAGTGCGGAGATTACAGATGTGAGCCACCTTGCTTAGCCCAACACTTAAAAAAAAAAAATTAGTAATATGTTTATATATCCAGGTACTCTCTGGCATTAAAATTTTAAAAAGAAAAAAAGTTTATATATATTATCCAATATTACAACTCAGAAAAGTAAATATTAGACCTACTTTTTGGAGGAGAAAAAAGGCACACTATCTCAAATTGCATGAATGAATAAGTATACAGGTAATAAATATATATAGAAAAGTTTGAAATGGAAGATTTACCACCTGTGCTTTGAACGGCCATTCTGGGAGCGATTGAGCCATATCCCTGGAACTCCTACCTCTGGCAGCTGCTGCTTGGCTTTGGTTGCAGGAATGGAGGGAATTGTGGGGCTTCTGACAGGAGGTTCCAGGGCCCCAGGATAGGGCAGTGCCATGGGGTTGCACCTATCTCATGGCCTTATCCCTGGTGGGAGGTCCTGGATAGAACTCAGGTGGAGGTGGTGGATAGGAGAACAGAAGGGCAGGAGTACATTCCATTGCAGCTGGTGATGGGAGGCATAGGCCCCACCAGGCATGTAAAGAGTATCTATAGGCTCCACTGGGGGCTTACCTCTGGAGGCTTAAAATGCCACCTGTAGCACCCATTGTCTAAACTCAGTGATGCTCCCTGCTGTAAAGGTTTGAAGTGAAGCCTTCTCAGTCACCTCCTGCTTTTAGAATTTGAATTCTATTATGTTGCTAACTATGACATTTGTATATCTTAGGAAATGTGGTACACAATCCCTGGGCAAAGCCTCAGGTTTAGGCTCACTTTAATGTTTCCCTCTCTTGGCCCTTGACACTGCAACTTCTGTCATTCGAGGAGGTGATAATAGCCTAAAAAATCCTTGCTGATAAAGAAGGAATTCTCATTAGGAATTGTTCAGGAATTTATTGTTAGAAATTTATGGTACAAACCTAGTAGAGAGACAGAAATGTCTTTTAAAATTTCTGAATTATACCATAATACATAAACTGTAATTAGTGTAATGCAAGATCCGCTTTGCTTTTTAGTGTTGGATCCCAAATCTAGAATAGTGCCTCCTGTAATTGATATTTAGTAGTTGAATGAAAGAATTGCTAAAAGCTGCCCACTAAAAGGGAAAATGCACTGAATTGTGAATATAAAGATTGGATATTCTGTTTACCTTTATTTTTAGAAGTAAGGAAAGAGTTCAGAGAGATTGTTAGAATATACTTTTATAGACTATTTTAAAAACAGATTTAGGTTTGCTCTCTTACTCTCGGTCCCATATTGAACTCAAGTTGGAAGAGGCGAGTCTGGTCTCAAAATGGAGGTAAAACTGCTGCCCAGTCGCCCCCAGCCCGACTCCGGCCGTCACTGTCGCCGCGTGGGGGAGGAGGGCCACGATCCAAAGGAACCAGAGCAGTTGAGAAAACTGTTTATTGGTGGTCTGAGCTTTGAAACTACAGATGATAGTTTAAGAGAACATTTTGAGAAATGGGGCACACTTACAGATTGTGTGGTAATGAGAGATCCCCAAACCAAATGTTCCAGGGGCTTTGGTTTTATGACTTATTCTTGTGTTGAAGAGGTGGATGCAGCAATGTGTGCTCAACCACACAAGGTTGATGGGTGTGTAGTGGAACCAAAGAGAGCTGTTTCTAGAGAGGATTCTGTAAAGCCTGGTGCCCATCCAACAGTGAAGAAAATTTTTGTTAGTGGTATTAAAGAAGATACGGAAGCATATAATTTGAGACACTACTTTGAAAAGTATGGCAACATTGAAACCACAGAAGTTATGGAAGACAGGCAGAGTGGAAAAAAGAGAGGATTTGCTTTTGTAACTTTGATCGTGATACAGTTGATAAAATTGTTGTTCAGAAATACCATACTATTACTGGGCATAATTGTGAAATGAAAAAGGCCCTTTCTAAACAAGAGATGCAGTCTGCTGGATCACAGAGAGGTTGTGGAGGTGGATCTGGCAATTTTATGGGTCGCGGAGGAAACTTTGGAGGTGGTAGAGGTAATTTTGGCTGTGGTGGAAACTTTGGTGGAAGAGGAGGTTATGGTGGTGGAGGTGGTCGCAGCACAGGTAGTTATGGAGGAGGCGATGGTGGATATAATGGATTTGGTGATGGTGGCAACTATGGCGGTGGTCCTGGTTATAGTAGTAGAGGGGGCTATGGTGGTGGTGGACCAGGATATGGAAACCAAGGAGGTGGATATGGTGGCGATGGTGGAGGATATGATGGTTACAATGAAGGAGAAAATTTTGGCGGTGGTGCGAACTATAATGATTTTGGAAATTATAGTGGACAATAGCAATCAAATTATGGACCCATGAAAGGGGGCAGTTTTGGTGGAAGAAGCTCGGGCAGTCCCTATGGTGGTGGTTATGGATCTGGTTGTGGAAGTGGTGGATATGTGGCAGAGGGTTCTAAAAGCAGCAGAAAAGGGCTACAGTTCTTATCAGGAGAGAGAGCAAGGAGTTGTCAGGAAAGCTGCAGGTGACTTTGAGACAGTCATCCCAAATGCATTAGAGGAACTGTAAAAATCTGCCACAGAAGGAGCGATGATCCACAGTCAGAAAAGTTACTGCCGCTTAAACAGGAAACCCTTCTTGTTCAGGACTGTCATAGCCACAGTTTGCAAAAAGTGCAGCTATTGATTAATGCAATGTGGTGTCAATTAGATGTACATTCCTGAGGTCTTTTATCTGTTGTAGCTTTGTCTTTTTCTTTTTCTTTTCATTACATCAGGTATATTGCCCTGTAAATTGTGGTAGTGGTACCAGGAATAAAAAATTAAGGAATTTTTAACTTAAAAAAAAAAAACCAGATTTAGATTTATAGAAAAATTGAAAAGATAACAGTTTATACCCCACTTGAAGTTATTAACATTATACCTTAGTATGGTATGATGGCTAATATTGAGTGTCAACTTGATTGGATTGAAGGATGCAGGGTATTGTTACTGGGTTTGTCTCTGAGGGTGTTGCCAAAGGAGATTAACATTTGAGGACTGAGAGAGGCAGACCCATCCTCAGTCTGGGTGGGCACCATCCAATCAGCTGTCAGCACATCTAGGATAAAAGCAGGCAGAGGAATGTGGAAGGACTAGACGGGCTATCTTCTGGACTCCATCTTTCTTTCATGCTGGATGGAGTCAAACATCAGACTCCAAGTTCTTCAGCTTTTGGACTCCGAGACCTACAGCAGTGATTTGCCGGAGAGCCCCTTGGCCACAAACTGAAGGCTGCACTGTTGGCCTCCCTACTTTTGAGGTTTTGGTACTTGGGCTGGCTTCCTTGCTCCTCAGCTTGCAGATGGCTTGTTGTGGAACTTCACCTGTGATCGTGTGAGTCAGTACTCCATAGTAAACTCCCTTTCATATATACATCTATTAGTCCTGTTCCTCTAGAGAACTCTAATACTTTAGTATGGTGCATTTGTCACAATGAAAGAATGGATATTGACATATTACCTTAAAGTCCACACTTAGATTTCTTTAGTTTTTACTTGTGTCCTTTTTCTGTTCCACGATCCTATCCAGGATGATACCACATGACATTTAGTCACTGTGTCTCCTTGGGTTCCTCTAAGACTATGACAGTTTCTTTAGATTTTTCTTGTTTTTGTTGACTAAACATTTTGAGGATTTTGAGGAGTACTAGTCAGGTTTTTTGTAAAACATCTTTCAGTTGAAATTTGGTGTTTTTTTTTATGGTGAGACCAAGGTTTAGGATTTTGGGGAGGAAGACATAGACATAAAGTGCCATTTTTTTTTTTTTTTTTTTTTGAGACGGAGTTTCGATCTTGTTACCCAGGCTGGAGTGCAATGGCATGATCTTGGCTCACTGCAACCTCCGCCTCCCGGGTTCAGGCAATTCTCCTGCCTCAGCCTCCTGAGTCGCTGGGATTACAGGCATGTACCACCATGCCCAGCTGATTTTTTTGTATTTTTAGTAGAGACGGGGTTTCACCATATTGACCAGGATGGTCTCAATCTCTTGACCTCGTGATCCACCTGCCTCGGCCTCCCACAGTGCTGGGATTACAGGCTTGAGCCACCGCGCCCGGCCAAAGTGCCATTTTTTCATCACATCCTATCCAGGATACATGCGATCAATATGACTTATCAGTGTTGATGTTGACCTTAGTCACCTGGCTGAGACTGTTGATCAGGTTTCTCTACTGTAAAGTTACTCTTTTCTCCCTTTCCATACTGGTCTCTTTAGAAGGCAGTCCCTATGTAGAGCCCACACTTATGGGGTGGAAAATTATTTTAATTCTTCTGCATGGGAGATTTGTCTCTCCTCCCCTATTTATTCAATAATTTGTCAATACCAGTATGCACTCATGGATCTTGTTTTATACTTTGGGTTATAATCTAATACTTCCTTGTGAATTTGTTCCAGCTGTGGCCATTGGTAATTTTTAAGTTGCCTGCTGTGTCCCTTTGACATACTATATCGATACAGGGCTTGGTTTTGTTTTGAGCACTTCCTAATTCTTTGTCATTTCAAGATGTTTCAGGTTCTTCATCTTGTATATTTTCTGTACCAGTCCCAGAATCAGCCTTTTCCCCCAAGGAACCTTGGTTCCCTTTATTGGATAATGGTATTAGAAACCAGTATCTGGGGCTAGGTATATTAATTGCTACTGGAGTTATGATACATTTTCAAAACTGCCTTTCAAAGATAACTTTGTCAGTATTGTGGATTTCTGCTCCATATGACTCCAATCTCTGAATAATTGAGTGTCCAGAATGCTTTGGCATTTCATTAAGCAACAACCTGTTCCTTGTAATACAGCGTAGACTTCTAGGTTAATCAGTTGCAGTGTAGTTTAAAATGTAGGCCGGGCGTGGTGGCTCAAGCCTGTAATCCCAGCATTTTGGGAGGCCGAGGCGGGTGGATCACGAGGTCAAGGAATCGAGACCATCCTGGTCAACATGGTGAAACCCCGTCTCTACTAAAAATACAAAAAATTAGCTGGACATGGTGGTGCGTGCCTGTAATCCCAGCTACTCAGGAGGCTGAGGCAGGAGAATTGCCTGAACCCAGGAGGCGGAGGTTGCGGTGAGCTGAGATTGCGCCATTGTACTCCAGCCTGGGTAACATGAGTGAAACTCCATCTCAAAAACGGAAAAAAAAAAAAAAGAAAAAAAAAAAAAAAGTAAAGCGCCTGGCTTTGAATTTCCAGTAATTCAAATAAAGTAAAAAGATCCAGGTTGCTGGGCATGCTGGCTCACGCCTGTAATCCAAGCACTTTGGAGGCCAAGGCAGGCGGATCACGTGATGTCAGGAGTTCAAGACCAGCCTGACCAACATGGTGAAACACCATCTTTATTTAAAAACAAACAAACAAAAAAAACAGGCTGTGTGCAGTGGCTCATGCCTGTAATCCCTGCACTTTGGGAGGTGGAGGCAGGAGTATCACTTGAGGCTAGGAGTTTGAGACCAGCTTAGGCAACAAAGCAAGACCCTGTCTCTAAAATATAAATAAATGAATAAAAATTAAAAATTAGGTGGCTGGGTGCAGTGGCTCACACCTGTAATTTCAGCCCTTTGGGAAGTGGAGGGCGGGTTGGATCATCTGAGATCAGGAGTTTGAGACCAGCCTGGCCAACATGGTGAGACCTCATCTTTACTAAAAATATAAAAAATTAGTTGGATATTACAGGCATGTAGCTGTAATCCCAGCTACTCAAGAGGCTGGGGCAGAAGAATCGCCTGAACCCAGGAGGCGGAGGTTGCAGTAAGCCATGATTGTGCCATTGCACTCCAGCCTGGACAACAAGAGTGGAAACTCCATCTCAAAGAAAAAAAAAAAGCCAGGTGTGGTGGTACTTGCCAGTAGTACTAGCTACTTGGGAGGCTGAGGCAGGAGGATTGCTTGAGCCCAGGAGGTTAATGCTGCACTGAGCCATGAATGTGCCACTGTACTCCAGCTTGGGTGACAAAGTGAGATCCTGTCTCAAAAAAGAAAAAAATAAAGGTAAGAGGCTCTAACAATGTGAATTGGGTATGAGCTTAAATTATGGATGCTTGGTCCTTTTTCTTTTTCTTTTCTTTCTTGCAAGAGGGAGTCTTGCCCTGTCACCCAGGTTGGAGTGCAATGGCTGATCTAATCTTGGCTCACTGCAAACTTTGCCTCCTGGGTTCAAGCGATTCTCCTGCTTCTGCCTCTTGAGTAGCTGGGATTACAGGCGTGTGCCACCACCCGGCTAATTTTTGTATTTTTATTAGAGACAGGTTCACCATGTTGGCCAGGCTGGTCTGGAACTCCTGACGTCAGGTGATGTGCCCAGCTCAGCCTCCCAAAGTGCTGGGATTATAGGCGTGAGACACAGTGCCTGGCCTTTGGTCATTTACTTCTAAGCACTAACACAAAGGCCTTTTTTGTCCTCCAAGGAAAAATTAAATATATAATAAAGATAAAGGAATGTGTAGTTATGGGAAGGAAAATATAGAGAATAAAAAAAAATGTGTAGTTAAAAGGTAATACATTTACAAGGTTTGAAAACAAGGCTGGGTACGGTGGCTCAGGCCTGTAATCTCAGCACTTTGGGAGGCCAAGGTGGGAGGATCACAAGGTCAGGAGTTTGAGACCAGCCTTGCCAACAAGGTGAAGCCTCATCTCTACTAAAAACAAAAACATTAGCCGGGTGTGGTGGCAGGAGCCTGTAATCCCAGCTATTTGGGAGGCTGAGGCAGAAGAATAGCTTGAACCCGGGAAGGCAGAGGTTGCAGTGAGGCAAGATCGCGCCACTGCACTCCATCCTGGGCAACAAGAGTGAGACTCTGTCTCAAAAAAAAAAAAAAAAAAAAGTAAAAGTGGGTTGACATGGTGACTTACACCTGTAATCCCAGAACTTTAGTCGGCTGAGGCAGGCAGATCACTTGAGCCCTGGACTTTGAGACCAGCCTGGGCAACATGGTGAAGCCCTGTCTCTATAAAAACTACCAAAATTAGCCAGATGTGGTGGCAGGTGCCTGTTGTCCCAGCTACCCAGGAGGCTAAGGATCATCTGAGCCTGGGAAGGTCAAGGCTGCAGTGAGTCATGATCATGCTACTATACACCTGCCTAGGGGACAGAGCGAGAACCTGTCTCAGGGGAAAAAAAAAAAAAAAGTATAAGTAAAATTCAGAAAGATATATATAAGGTCGGACGTGGTGGCTCATGCTTGTAATCCCAGCACTTTGGGAGACCAGGGTGGGTGGATCACTTAAGGTCAGGAGTTTGAAACCAGCCTGGCCAACATAGTGAAATCCAGTCTCTACTGAAAATACAAAAAAAATTAGCTGGGCGGGTGGGCGTGGTGGCTCATTCCTGTAATCCCAGCACTTTGGGAGGCAGAGGCAGGTGGACCATGAGGTCAGGAGATCGAGACCATCCTGGCCAACATGGTGAAACCCCATCTCTACTAAAATACAAAAAATCATCCAGGTGTGGTGGCACATGCCTGTAGTCCCAGCTACTTGGGAGGCTGAGGCAGGGGAATTGCTTGAACCCAGAAGGCAGAGATTGCAGTGAGCTGAGATCAGGCCACTGCACTCCAGCCTGGCAACAGAGCGAGACTCCATCTCAAAAGAAAAAAAACTGGCTGGGCATGGTGGCACATGCCTGTAATCCCAGCTACTCAGAAGGCTGGGGCAGAAGGATCACTAGAACCCACAAGGCGAAGGTTGCAGTGAGCTGAGATTGCACCACTGCACGCCAGCCTGGGAAACAAGGCAAGAGACTGTCTCAAACAAACAAAAAACACGTGGAGAAGTCAAACAAGTTTCCATCCAGCCTTTCTTTAGCATCTACTTCAGGCAACTATTTGAATCAGTTTCTTGTCTTTCTAGTTTTTTTTTTTTTTCTTTTTTTTTTTTAAAATAGAACTATATTTTCTTTCCTTTCTTACATATAAAGCAGCATCATATAAATTACAGTACTAATTGGTTTTTGCAGGTAATAACTGATTATAGAACTAAAATATTCTTGGAAGGAGCCTTATATTTTAATCCATTTGCTGTGGTTTGAATGTTTGTCCTCTCTGGAACTCATGTTTAAATTTAATCCCCAATGTGGCAGTATTGAGAGGTGGAGCCTTTAAGAGTTGACTGGGTCATGAGGGCTCTGCCATGGATTAATCCATGGATGAATGGGTTATTATGGGTGTGGGACTGGTAGCTTTATAAGAGGAAGAGAGAGACGTGAGTTTAGCAATCTCGGCCTCCTTGCCATGTGATGCTGCCTTGGGACTCTGCAGAGTCTCCTCCAGCAAGAAAACCCTCACCAGATGTGGCCCCTTGACTTTGGACTTCTCAGCCTCTATAACTGTAAGAAATAAATTCCTTTTCTTTATAAAGCACCCAGTCTCATCTATTCTGTTATAAGCAACAGAAAATGGACTAAGATATCATTTACTCAAAAAGCTTTTACTGGGCTCGTGTGTGCCAGGTGGATGGTAAGTCAGCACCGGAAGGCTGGCGAACTTCCTATTCTCAAGGAGCTCATGGTCTGGTGAGAAATTCCTTCAGCAGAATCCCTATGTTATCACTGTGCTGCCTCAGCTGAAATAGAAAATGGGGGTGTTCACTACTTCCAGAGATTGTTTTATTTACTATGCAGTTTGTTTTTGTTTTCCTAATGATGAGCTGAAATGTTCCTCTTTGTAACTTGTATTTTTTCTGGTTTAGACTTTAATATCATGAAATGATGAGACCATTTCTTATATTACTTTGATTTTAGTAATTCACATGCTAGACTTGGATCACCAGTTTTCTTTCATTCTCCAATTAAGAGCTACACTCACACCCATTTGACTAATAATGTTCTTTAGGGTTTGAGTGATGAACTTGTCCTTGTGGATGATGATGAAGGCAAACTGAAGGGTGAGACAATGGATCTTCAACATGGCAGCTCCTTTATGAAAATGCCAAAAATTGTCTCCAGCAAAGGTTAATGTCATAGTTAAATACTATAAATATTCTAATATACGTGAATGCTAAGAAATCATCTTTGTTTCCTTTGAAATATGTCTAAGAAAATCATCTTATTTCCTTTGCAATATGTCTAAGAAAATCATCTTTATTTCCTTTGACCTCCCAGTTTTTATACATAAGGCTGGTTGCTCCCTACTCTGTACTCATAACATGTTCAGATCCCGTAAGTTGTACTTTATTTGCAAGGTTTCCCGCAATAGCAGACTAAGTTCCGTGTGAGCAGCAGTAACAGCAGTTAAGACAGCTATAACAAATTGACTGCCTACTGTGTGTGAGACATTGACCTAAGCACTTTATTATTTAATCCTGAGCACAACTCTGTATCTTAGAGATGATGGACCTCTGAGCTAAGGTTAAATAAAAGTGATGGAATAGGGACGTGAACCCTGTGCTGTTTGATTCCAAAGTCTAAGCTCTTCGCTACTGCACTTTATTCACTTGGCACCTGGGAGATATTGAACCAACATCTCCCTGTTAGAGGGTTTGTTTACACATCTGTCTCTAAATATTCTTGCCAGGCTAATCCATATTTTGACCTCTTAAATGGTACAAAAAGTATTTTAGGAGGTTTTTTTTTTTTTTTTTTTAAGACATGGACTTCTGGGCTCAAGCGATCCTCTTGGTCTCGGCCTAGAAGTAACTGGGACTACAGGTGTGCGCTACTGCACCCAACTTAGGAGGTTTTTGTTTTTGGAAATGGAGTCTCGCTCTGTCACCCAGGCTGGAGTGTCATGGTATGATCTTGGCTCACTGCCACCTCTGCCTCCAGGTTCAAGTGATTTTCTTGCCTCAGCCTCCTGAGTAGCTGGGACTACAGATGTCCACCACTGTGCCCGGCTAAATTTTGCACTTTTAATAGAGATGGGGTTTCACCATGTTGACCAGGCTGGTCTTGAACTCCTGGCCTCAACTGATCCACCTGCCTCGGCCTCCCAAAGTGTTGGGATTACAGACGTGAGCCAAAGAACCTGGCTTAGGCTTTAATTAAAAAAAAAAAAAAAAAAATACAAGGGAAACTTAGTACTAATTTCCTGAAATTAAAAAGTAGTCTGGGCATTCTAGAATATTGAAGGGAACTCTTTGGTAAACATAGTGTGGTGACTGAAGTAAACAGGAAGTATACTTAAATGTCTGATGTTTTCTTTCATAATCTATTTTTTCTTCGAATCTTTCCCCAGATTACCTGGTCACTGCAAACTCCAATCTAGTTATTATCACGGCAGGTGCACGCCAGAAAAAAGGAGAAACACGCCTTGATTTAGTCCAGCGAAATGTGTCCATCTTTAAATTAATAATTCCCAGTATTACCCAATACAGTCCTCACTGCAAACTGCTTATTGTTACTAATCCAGGTCAGCTTTGTTGTTAGTAAATTTTCAGCTTTTAGAATTGGGGGTACACCGTGTTAGGTTCATTATGTGGGTATTTTGCATGATGCGAAAGTTTGGGGTAAGATTAATCATGCCCCCAGGTAGTGAGCGTGGTACCTAATAGTTTTCAGCGCTTGCCGCCCTCACTCCTGCCCTGTCTAGTAGTCTCCAGTGTCCGTCGTTCCCATCTTTATGTCCGTGTGTACCCGCATGTTTAGCTTCCACTTATAGGTGAGAACAATGTGGTATTTGGTTTTCTTTTCCTGTACTGATTAGCTTAGAATAGTGGCCTCCAGCTGCATCCACGTTGCTGCAAAGGACGTGATTTTGTTTCTTTATGGCTGCATAGGTCAGCTTTGTCTTCACTGTTGAGTGAAGGAGTTTTTGGGGGTGGGTTTAATAACTTTGAAGAGAAAAATAATGAGTATTAAATCATAAACTACCAATGTAATTCCAGAATCTTTCTGTTTTGTTAGTGAAGTAGGTACTTTGCACAGTTGTAATCAGTAAATATACTAGAATCACTTTTAAAAAATACTAGTGTGAGGCCAGGTACAGTGGCTCATACCTATAATCCCAGCCCTTTGGGAGCCCAAGGTGGGTGAAGTGCTTGAATTCAGGAGTTTGAGACCAGCCTGGGCAACATGACAAAACTCCATCTCTAAAACAAATGCAAAAATTATCAGGACACGGTGGTGAGCACCTGTAGTCCTAGCTACTCGGGAGGCTGAGGTGGGAGGATTGCTTTAGCCAGGGAGGTCAAGGCTGCACTCCAGCCCGGGTGACAGAGTGAGACCCCGTCTCAAAAAAACAAACAAAATATATATATATATAAATATAGTAGTGTGTATGGGAAGGTACTATGCTTAATCATATGACTTCAAGGTTTACGTGCTGAAGGCTGAGGTTTGTTTTCCAAATTACTGTTTGCAAAGTGAAAACAGTGCTATAGTTTACTGCCTGACTCTCCAAAATTGTACTAGACTCCTCACTGGTGCATGTACAAGGTGGACCAACTCAAGATAGGCTTTGGAGAGAAAGTGTACAGGACTGCTGATAGATTATGTGTAGTGAGGGAAAGGGAGGAATACAAAATAACTTCTAGATTTTTCCTTTGAGTAACTGAATAGATGGTAGTTCCATTTAACTGGGTTAGTAAATTTACCAGTCAGGTGGGAGTCAGGGAAGTAGGAGGGGATGTTACATATAGAGGAGAAAAATCAAGGTATTTGAAAAAGTACTCAAGAGGAAATGTTAAACAGCTAGAGATTGAGTCTGGAGCATAGTAGTTTAGGGATATTGAAATTACTGTATTCTGAAATCATTTGGAACAGTTCTCTGTGCAGACTGAAACTGAGTGAGTGCATGATTGTTTATTCATTTCAGTTTTGATACTGAGGAACTATTGAAATTTTGTTTCACAGTTTTATAAAATATTCACATGGCTCCAACATCAAATCAAGAACAGTAATGATTCAAAGTGGTCCAGGTTCCTTCCTTGTGCCCTTTTCCCTGTAGCCTCCATCCCTTTATAGGTAACCATTTACATTTTTTATGCTTTACAGCTTTTTGTTACTACATAAATTTTTCTCCATCTTCTTTCATATTTAACTTATGAAGCTCACTCCATAGAATTTATAAATATGTTGATTACTGTGTCTTTGTGGTAAGTTTTAAAATCGGGACGTGTTAAGTCCTCTGACTGTTTTTTTTTTTTTTTTTTTTTTTTTTTTTTTGAGATGGAGTTTCGCTCTTGTTACCCAGGCTGGAGTGCAATGGCGCAATCTCGGCTCACCGCAACCTCCGCCTCCTGGGTTCAGGCAATTCTCCTGCCTCAGCCTCCTGAGTAGCTGGGATTACAGGCACGCGCCACCATGCCCAGTTGATTTTTTGGAGTTTTAGTAGAGACGGGGTTTCACCGTGTTGACCAGGATGGTCTCGAACTTTTGACCTTGTGATCCACCCGCCTCGGCCTCCCAAAGTGCTGGGATTACAGGCGTGAGCCACCGCGCCCGGCTCCTCTGACTGTTCTTTAAAATTATCTTGGGACAAGCGTGGTGTCTCATGCCTGTAATCCCAGGACTTTGGGAGGCGGAAGCAGGTAGATCACCTGAGGTCAGGAATTTGAGACCAGCCTGGCCAACATGGCGAAACCCTGTCTTTACTAAAATACAAAAATTAGCTGGGCATGGTGGTGTACACCTGTAATCCTAGCTACTTCAGAGGCTGAGGCAGGAGAATCGCTTGAACTTGGGAGGCAGAGGCTGCAGTGAGCTGAGATCGCACTACTGCACTCCAGCCTGGACGACAGGGCAAGACTCTGTCTCAAAAAAAAAATTATTCTGGCTTGTCTGGATCCTTAGCATTCCCATATAATTTATGAATCAGCTTGTCAATTTCTGAAATAAAACTAGCAAGGATTTTGATGGGGATTGGGGCTGATTTATTTTGGTTCTTTTATATTTGATAAGTTGTTTTTCTCTTGCTATTTCCAGTATTTTCTCTTTGGCTGTGAACAATTTGACTATGATGTGTCTAAGTGTGAATTTCTTTAAGTTTATACCACTTGGAATTAATTGAGCTTCTTGGATGTATAGATTTTACTTTTTTTGAGATGGAGTCTTGCTCTGTCACCCAGATTGGAGTGCAGTGGTGTGATCTCGGCTCACTGCAACCTCTGCCTCCCAAGTTCAAGCAATTCTGCTTCAGCCTCCCAAGTAGCTGGGATTATGGGCACTCGCCACCACTCCCAGCTAATTGTTGGTATTTTTAGGAGAGAGGGTTTCACCATGTTGGTGAGGCTGGTCTTGAACTCCTGACCTAAAGTGATCCGCCCACCTCAGCCTTCCAAAGTGCCGGGATTACAGGTGTGAGCCACTGTGCCCAGTTTGGATGTATAGATTAATGCTTTTCTATTTGGGAAGTTTCAGCTGTTACTTCTTGGAATAATTTTTCTGCTGCTCTGTCCCCCCCTCCTGGTGCTATCATACATGCATATTGGTGTGCTTAATGGTGTCCCACAAGTTTGAGGCTCTGTTTTTTCTTTTTTAAAATAGTTTGTAGATTATCAAAAGTTCCTTTTTCATGGTATGAGATATTTATTTGTACATTTAACTGCATGCATATCTTTAGCTTTCACATAAATGTTCTTTCATACAGGCTATTGGCATAAGCATTTGTGCTTTTCAAGAGTTTAATTCTTTAACTGAAAAAATACCAAATCCAAAATTCAGAAATGGTAGTCTGACCCTACAAGGAAGCACACTGAGAATAACAAGCTGATGATACATTATCATATTGTATAATAGTATTTGATTTTATTTTGAGACACAGCCTCACACTGTTACCCAGGCTGTAGAGCGGTGGTATGATCTCCGCTCACTGCAATCTCCGCCTCCTGGGTTAAAGCAACTCTCCTGTCTCAGCCTCCCGAGTAGCCGGGACTACAGGCATGTGCCACCACGCCCAGCTAATGTTTTTGAATTTTTAGTAGAGATGGGGTTTCACCATGTTGGCCAGGATGGTCTCGATCTCTTGACCTCATGATCTACCCGCCTCAGCCTCCCAAAATGCTGGTATTACAGGCGTGAGCCACTGGGCCCAGACATATTTTATATTTTCTAACACACTTTCCAGTAAGTTTTTCCACATCCTGAAATCTGACGGTATCATTTTTGAAATGAGAGCTGTGGAGAGATTCTGACCTGAGAGTTGTGAAGCACCTGACAGAGCTCCGTCATTAATTTCTCTAACCACTCAGGGCACTGAAGTCTGTGGGGACAGTTAAGTTGACATTTAGTGTTTGTGTTAAATGAATCCCCAACCTGCTTTGTTTTAATTTGCACCAAAAAGCCTTCATCCTCAAAGTACCATGTGACTAAGGTTATATGGTAAATTAGGAAACACGAATTAAGCATCACTTGCTTGGCAACATTAACGGGCTTACCACATTCACACTGCAGATTTTAGCAGTGTACGTTAGCAAGAGATGCTTCCCTATGTGTTATGGCAGAAGTCTGTTAAAGAATATTCATTAACTAATTTTTTTTTTTTTTTTAAATACGGGGTTTCACCATGTTGGTCAGGCTGGTCTTGAACTCCTGATCTCAGGTGATCCACCTGCGTTGGCCTCCAAAGTGCTTGGATTACAGGCGTGAGCCACCACGCCTGGCCTCATTAACTAATATTTCTTTTATTTTTATTTTTATTTTCATTTTTTTGAGGCGGAGTTTCACTCTTGTTACCCAGGCTGGAGTGCAATGGCGTGATCTCGGCTCACTGCAACCTCCGCCTCCTGGGTTCAGGCAATTCTCCTGCCTCAGCCTCCTGAGTAGCTGGGATTACAGGCACGTGCCACCATGCCCAGCTAATTTTTTGTATTTTCAGTAGAGACGGGGTTTCACCATGTTGACCAGGATGGTCTCGATCTCTTGACCTCGTGATCCACCCGCCTTGGCCTCCCAAAGTGCTGGGATTACAGGCTTGAGCCACCGCGCCCGGCATTAACTAATATTTCTAATAAGCACATTCAGAGGATTTTTTCTGCATTTTATATACTGGCTGCTTGCCATTAAGAGGTGCAAAAAATCAGGAAAAATAATCCTAATCTCAATCTCAAATACAGCTTAGTTCTATATTTGCTTGACAGTGCACATAAAGTTATAGTACATGCTATCAAATATATCTTCTGTATCTATTTAAAATACTTTTTCTGATACTAGAAATGTGAAGAAAATCTTCATTATTTTAGTGAGTCTGTTAAGATGGTTCACTAGGAACCATCTTTAAAATTTCAGTAAGGTGCTTCAAAAGTTAAGAGAAACAACTTCATTACTCTTCTGATACAAAAAAAAAACAACAAAAACTGATAACTTTGAATTAATATTATTAAGCTACCAAACATTGATACCACTCAGGAAAGTTTTTCCCCTGAATGATATTTATTTTTTTGAGACAGTCTGTCACCCAGGATGGAGTGCAGTGGAGCAATCTCTGCCTTCCAGGTTCAAGCAATTCTCATGCCTTGGCTTCCTGACTAGCTAGGATTACAGGCACGTGCCACCATACCTGGCTAATTTTCATATTTTTAGTACAGATGGTGTTTTACCATGTTGGTCAGGCTGGTCTTGAACTGACGTCAAGTGATCTGCCTGCCCTGGCCTCCCAAAGTGCTGGGATTACAGACATGAACAGCCACACCTAGCCAGGTTTTTTTTTTGTAAAATAAAAAATTGCATCCAGATCTTAGTTCAGTTATAAATAACACACTATTGACATTACTTTAAAATAGCATTCTAGGTTACTACTGTGGAAATGTGTAGCTCAAGACATAACAAATACTAGGTATTAATTTCAAAACTATTCAGAATGAGGCTGGTCATGATGGTTCATGTCTGCAATCCCAGCACTGGGAGGCTGAGGCGGGAGGACTGCTAGAGCCCAGGAGTCCAAGACCAGCCTGGGCAAAATGGCGAAAGCCTGTCTCTACTTAAGAAGAAAAAAAAATTCAAAAAGAAATCTACCCAGAATGGCTTGAGATTTTCCATTATTGATTTATGAGTATTTAAGAATGTTTACAAATTAAAAAGTTCTAATAACTAATTATTTACCTGAACTAACTGGCCAAATAGAAGTGAAAAATGGAAAATTTAGAGGGCAGTATGGTAAGGGAGGGGATGTAAAATAATACAGGAAGAGGACTGAAACAAGTGAAGATAGAAGATTTAGGAAAAGTTTAACCTTTCCTTCAACTCTATAGTCATTTAGGAAGTGCGGCTGGTATCCCAGGATACAGCTGAGTTACTTGCTCTGTCTTCAGTTTACCAATTAAAACAGGCCACATTCTCAGTTCCAGACCCAGGGACTGATGGAGGGACCTCCAAACCCCTTGCATTTCAGTGGCAGTTGACAAACCTTTTTTTTTTTTTCTTTTTGTGGAGAACAGGGTCTCACTATATTGTCTGGGCAGGTATCGATCTCCTGGGCTCAAGCTGTCCTCCCACCTCTGCCTCCCTAAAAGCTGGGATTACAGGCATGAGCCACGGTGCCCGGCCTTGATGAACCTCATAAGACCCAGCATGATGAATTGTTTTTCACTTGATAGCTTTATGTGTGAGGAAACTTAGACATTTCTACACATACATCTGTCCATCTCAGGTATTAGAATGAATGCTTACCATTTTAAATTGTGGTATAATCAAACTGTTTCTGTATCACTTTTTTTTTTTTTTTTTTTGAGATGGAGTCTCAGTCTGTCGACAGGCCGGACTGCAGTGGCATGATCTCGGCTTACTGCAACCTCTGCCTCCTGGATTCAAGCGATTCTCCTGCCTCTGCCTCCTGAGTAGCTGGGCTACAGGTGTGTGCCACCATGCCCAGCTAATTTTGTTTTGTATTTTTGGTAGAGAAGGGGTTTCACCATGTTGGCCAGGGTGGTCTTGATCTCTTGACCTCGTGATCCACCTGCCTCTGCCTCCCAAAGTGCTGGGATTACAGGCATGAGCCACTGCGCCCAGCCTCACTTCTTACCATTAATGAGTATTAAAAAGGGAACAGAAGCTCTTTGTTAATAGAAATACTACATATTTAGAAAACACTATGTTCTAGACAACGAAAGACATCATTTTCATCTTTTTTAAAGTGTCTAGTTTCTACTACTTAAGTGAATACTTAAATCTGCCATAAAAACAAGACCGAGCCTGGAGTGCAGTGGCACGATCTCGGCTCACTGCAACCTCCACCTCCTGGGTTCAAGCGATTCTCCTGCCTCTGCCTCCGGAGTAACTGTGACTACAGATGTGTGCCACCATGCCCAGCTAATTTTTTGTATTTTTAGTAGAGATGGGGTTTCACCATGTTGGCCAGGATGGTCTCAATCTCCTGACCTGGTGATCCGCCTGCCTCAGCCTCCCAAAGTGCTGGGATTACAGGCATGAGCCACTGTGCTCGGCCTTGAGGCTATATTATTATGTATAAATTTATGGTTTTATAAATATTGTTGCATTGTTTTATATATTATGTATCTTTTATACGTTAATGAGAATTATATAGATAACACATTATATATTCTCATTAATGTATAAGATATATAATATATACATATTATCTCTATCCCCACTAGTGTATAATATACATTATATACAATTATATACTAATGTTTAAAATAACTGACACTAAAATATCAGACTGTGTCAAAAATTTATCCCTTCCCTAATGGGACGAAAGCCCGATTATGTTTCCCTGCGAATTCTTTAAAAATTTTTTTTTTTTTTTTTAAGAGACAGAGTCGGTCTTGGTCTTGCTCTGTTGCCCAGGCTGGAGTGCAGTGGTGTAATCGTAGCTCACTGCAGGCTTGATCTCCTGAGCTGATGTGTTCCACCTGTCTCAGCCTCCCAAGGAGCTGGGACAACAGGCACATGGCACCACGCCTGGATAATTGTTTTTCCTTTTGGAGACACAGTTTTGCTATATTGCCTAGGCTGGTCTCAAATGATTGCTGGCCTTAAGGGATCCTTCCACCTCTGCCTCCCATGGGGCTGGGGTTTATACTTGTTTTTTTTTTTTCTGTTCCTCTTTTTTGTTGAAAATGGTTTATTCTCTGAGAAAAATTATTTGAAAGATGTGGTAAGAGACTGTAATGTTTCTTAGAATTTTCTGTGGCGTGAACATTCTGTGTTTCTGCATACCAAGCTATGCAAAGTAGCAACAAAAAGGTTTTTCATTACTTCTATTTGGTAGATATTTTTAGAGTTGGGGTATAGCTGGGGTTGGATAGAGAACCATGTTTCTTGCCCCCTCCATGAAACATCAGATTGACTAGTTTTAGGTAAATCTAAAAAATGTATCCTTGTAGATGAGAACATTTCTTGATAAGAACTTGTTCTTCTTAGTGGATATCTTAACTTACGTAGCCTGGAAACTGAGTGCATTTCCCAAAAACCGTGTTATTGGAAGTGGCTGTAATCTGGACTCTGCTCGTTTTCGTTACTTTATTGGGCAAAGGCTTGGCATCCACTCTGAAAGCTGTCATGGGCTGGTCCTCGGAGAGCACGGTGACTCAAGTGGTAAGCCTGAAGCACGACTGAGCCCTGCATGCTCTCTGAAATCCGTATTTCCTATCATATAGACAATTAATGTAAAGTGGCTCCTGGGAGGGGAGAAAAGACTTTATTCCACTTTAGGCCCTTTTAGTAGTGCTTAACTTTTACCACACTTATTATTTTTAAAATAACCAACAAAAAAGTGCAGATTTGAAAAATGTGACATTGACACTATAATCCTACATATGGATGGCTAAGATTATAATGCTTTTCTTAAATAGAGAACTAAGTAACATGATATAGTTTGTATTTAATTTGGGACACTCCAGAAAGGTCAGCAGTGTACTTCAAGTAGTAGGCATTCTTCAGATTAAGGGATGGGTACAACTGAAGAATATAAAAGGAAAGAGAAAGAGTGCTGTGGTAATAGCAGTCCTTTCCCCTCCCTCAATGTCTTCTGGCTAAAAACTTTTGAAATCTATTTAATGTAAACCTTGACTATGGAAAAAGACTTAAAGGGAGAAAAATTAAAACTTCCTAGTGGAAAGTTTAAAACTGCAACTTTCTTATTTGGAGAATCTTTGCCAAGATGATGATAGAATTGTGGATCCCATCTCTGGAGATCTGGATTTAGAATATCTGGAGTGGGGCTCAGATATTTTGAACATTCCTAGTTGAAAACCACTCAGGGCAATTATAACAATTTTGCTAACGTCAAAAACCAAAACCCTGCTAATACCATATAAGAAGTGGATTTTCGGGTATCTCTTTCTTAGTTCCTGTGTGGAGTGGTGTGAACATTGCTGGTGTCCCTCTGAAGGATCTGAACCCAGATATAGGAACTGATAAAGATCCTGAGCAGTGGGAAAATGTCCACAAACAAGTGGTTTCTAGGTAAGATGTTATTTTTACATTTTCAGTACTTGGGAGTTGTGAGCTTGAACTCTGCTATCAGGCTGAGATGATTCCCTTAAGTATATGTTGTTGTATTTCCCGTACTTTTATTTACACTTCTACTTTTTGTGTGATCATATTCACGAGATTGTAAGTTCTTCAGCAGTCAGGGACTGACTCTGTTGTTCATTCCCGAGCCTAACCCGGTATCGAGCACATGGTGTAGGGGCTCACTTGGTGACTGACAATATATTTTTTTGGACACTTGCTAGCATTTACTATCGGTGGTGGAATTGATTCCATACTAATTTCTGCATCTCTGTACTTGTAACTCTTATGTTTACTTTCACCACTGTGGCTGGGCATGATAGTTCATGCTTATAATCCCAGCATTTTGGGAAGCTGACGTGAGGGGATCACTTGAGCCAGGAGTATGAGACCACCCTGGGCCACATAGGGAGACCCCATCTCTACAAAATATATAAAAAATTAGCTGAGCATATGGTGGCCTGCTTGAGCCCAGAAGGTTGAGGCTGCAGCAATCCCTGTTTGCGCCACTACACTCCAGCTGAGACCCTCCTTCAAAAATGCATACATACAGTCAGGCATGGTGGCTTATGCCTGTAATCCCAGCAATTTGGGAGACCAGGGTGGGCAGATCACTTGAGGTCAGGAGTTCGAGACCAGCCTGGCCAACATGGTGAAAATCCATCTCTACTAAAAATACAAAAATTAGCCATGCATGGTGGCGCATGCTTGTAATCCCAGCTACTTGGAAGGCTGAGGCGGGAAGATCACTTAAACCCAGGAGGTGCAGGTTGCAGTGAGCCAAGGTTGCACCATTGCACTCTAACCTGAGTGACAGAGCAAGACTTTAAAAAAAAAAAAAATACATACTACAAGAAATTTCTAGGAGAAATTGATGATGGAGTCATTACAGTTTTATGGCACTGTCAGATAGGTTGCTGCAAAGTAGAAGTTCAATGACAAGTGTTTCTTCTAAACTAACTTCTTACATTTATGGTTTCTTCTAACTACAGTGGCTATGAGATGCTCAAAATGAAAGGTTATACTTCTTGGGGCATTAGCCTATCTGTTGCTGATTTAACAGAAAGTATTTTGAAGAATCTTAGGAGAGTGCATCCAGTTTCTACCCTAAGTAAGGTAGGACAGTCATGTTTGAAAAATCATTAACTTCAACATAAAATAGGGGTAAAGAGCATTTTTTAGGGGCTCTAGTTTTGAGTTTGATCTTGTGGAAGCACCTCTCTTCCTGATGTCTGTTCTTTGCTGCTGAAGAGCAGGGGAGACTGTGGAAAGAACCTATCTTTGTAGACCTTTGTCCTGGTCTAGTGTGACATTTCTTATTACATTTATTAGATAAAAGTAAGTGTTTTTGCATCTTTATTAACTGAGTGAACTGACTCTACCAGTATCTAGAGACACTGGGAACCATTGTGAGCAGGCCTTGGTACCTTTGGAGTTGTTCTTACAGTTTCAATTATGTCCAATGAAGAGCGCTAGGAAAGCGGCACTAAACACAAAACAATTAGCAGTTAGTCTCCTGGGGAAAGGGGAGTTGGGGCATGGGTAAGAGCCCTCTGGTAGTCTCAGTGGGAGAGGTTATAAAACAAAACAGATGTAAATCATTGGAAATAAGATCATAGGAATTTTGAAGTGGTCCCCTGATAGGAAGTGGTATGGGGTAAGGAGATGAGGAAAGAAGGGTGGGCCCCAGCAAACATGGCAGGAAGCTGGGGCCTATGCGGAGAGATGGTGGATGAAACTGAACAATAAATATGTCTCATCATGCTTTAAATTATTGTCTTGGTACTGTGCCAGTTCATACTACCCATCTGTTACCCATCCACCTTGCAACTGCTGCTTTTCATATTGCAGACCTTTGTTAAAAGTTAAAATAAAAATAATTTTAGGTCTTTACTTTCAGGGCTTCTATGGAATAAGTGAAGAAATATTCCTTAGTGTCCCATGTATCCTGGGAGAGAATGGTATCGCAGACCTTATAAAAGTAAAACTGACACTTGAAGAGGAGGCCTGCTTGCAAAAGAGTGCAGAAATACTTTGGGAAATTCAGAAGGAGCTCAAGCTTTAAAGTTGCTTAAAGCTACCATTCTGTAGACTGAAGATGAAATAGTCATTATGGAATTGTATATGTCAAACTTTTGAATAAATTTGAATTCTACAAGTTGGAAAAATAGAGGAAAGTGATCTATTTCGTGTAGCCTTCCAGCTTTTTTCTTTTTTTTTGGGTCTAATTCTGTCACCCAGGCTGGAGTGGCACAATCACAGCTCACCGCAACCTCAACCTCCCAAGCTCAGGTGAGCCCCCCACCTCAGCCTCCAGAGTAGGTGGGACCACATGCATCTGCCTCTATCCCTAGCTAATTTTTTTTTTTTGGTAGAGATGGGGTTTTGCCATGTTGTCCAAGCTGGTTTGAACTTCCAAAGTGCTGGGATTACAGGGGTGAGTCACTGGGCCTGGCCTTAGCTCTTTTAGTATCCAGATGATGGATGACACTTTTTAAGTAATGGCATGAAAGATGTTTTTGGTATCTCTCAGTACTTGCCCTGTCTGTATATATAATTGCCATCTGGTCCAAAATAATGTGTTTACTGTGTTATAGAAATCCTGATTCATCAGGTGATAGTAATTCTTCTTAGAATGGCTTAATACCTATGTCCATTTATATGCTACTTAATAAAAGCTGTAACTTTCTCTACAATGTAAAAATAAAAGTATACACACACAGACACACAAAGTAATCTCAATGTTCCTAACACTAGATAAAATCTTGATTTGACCTTGCTGGTTTTTATTCTGATAACTTTTATGAGTGCATTTTAATTTTTCCAGAAAAGATCTTAAGCTGTAAACCCCTTGGTGACAACAAATTGGTCATTCTTCTCTTGGGAGTAGAGTGGGCTGGTTAATTAACATCCCAGATAGAAACACACTTTTTTTCTTTTCTTTGTAACCTCATGAACCTTCTAGCACTCTCATTTTGATGGAGAACATTCTATTCTAGATGAGCACTGCAGGACATACAGCAGCTATATAGTTCAGTGGGTGGTTGCAAACTTGGCTACAGAATCGCCATGAAGACAACTTTAAATGACAAAAGCAGGGAGGTAATGGTACACTGGGTCTTTCCCTTTAATCCTAAAGTTATCAGGTATATAGTTTGGATCTGTCACTCTGTTCCTTTTTGATGAAAAGTTATGGTTCAGTGAGGCCTAGAAAGGAAACAAACAGTAGAGTTGGTGGAGTATTACCCTTGGAACTTTCACAGATAAGTTACTCAAACCCTTCAATTTCAAATATTTCAAAATTTAGATTTCTATTTGGTATATTCCCCATATTCACTTTATATGCTGTAGAATAATTTTAAGATGGATTTTATGCTGTTTGTTTGCTAAATGAAAAGTTGGGCTTATTATTAAGGTTTCATGGATCTTTCCTAAAGTCCAATAAAGGAGAGAAAAATTATGCAACAAATTTTATTTAGCAGTCCCAACATTCAGCACAAAAAGTTTACAGAGGATAGAAAGTGCATTAATAAAAGCCAGTCTTTACCAAAGAAAACAGAAAATATATTATTGATTCAAAATATTTTACACTTGAATGATAAACTGCAATAACTTATTCTGGGCACCTACTGATAAGAGAAAGGAAGAGAAGAAAGAAGAGCTCAACCTCCAGCTGGTATCAGAGAAGTCAGTAGAGGTCACTGAGACCGGCAGTCTTTCTTGCTTTTTGCATTAATGCCCTCAGCTGGAACTGTTTACGGGACAGAAGACGTACATGCTGGGAGGGGGAAAAAGTTTCAATAGTTTAGAATGGCTTTGATTCAGGCCCAAGCATAAAGTATCAGACAATTTGTAACCTAGATGGGATCTAAGAACCCTAACTCATGACCTGTCAACCTTTGGAATGAATACCTCATTACGTGTGGCTTTTAAACTTTATATAATAAAGGCTTACTCAACAGGGAAAGCATTACATTGAAGGATTATGGCTCAGGAGTTTGACCTACACTTTGAGACAACCAATATGCCAGGGAAACTTTTACTGTGATGCTAATAAAAGTTACCAAAAAATGTGGGTAAGTATGGCTGGCCCCACTTGGCTAAAAGAAGGGAAAGGGCAAACCATGAGAAGCATTAGGGTTGGCTTTTCTCCCTAGTCTGGTGGCAAGCAGACAGCATCTCTCTCTTGCCTCTCTGTGTACATCTTTTCCTAAGCCACGCCACCTATGCAAGAGATTGCACAGAAAGTCCTCTTTTGGGTTTCTGATTTGTATCCAACCATTCATATGGTTGCACCAGTTCTGAGGCACATAGTTTGGCCATTCCTCCACAGTGAGAGGAGACAGGCAAGATCAGCACATGACCTGACCAGGCTCCAGCTGCAGCTGGATCAAATATCCCAAGGGTGGCTGTTATCCCTAAAACCACGTTCTCCATGACCAAAGAGACAGCAGTAGCCAAACTTGGCTTCCTAGGTTTTCCTCTGTACAACAGCATTAAACTTGAGGCAACTTTCATTCAAGAGGGCTTGAAAGGGCAGCCCAATACTGCGAAGGGCTGTTTGATGTGGGAAAACTGGTCTAAAGTTATATAACTAAGAACAGATAAAAATGTAAGTGGCACAATCGGTGATCTCAATTTAGGTGGTATGACCTCAAAAAACCAATGGAAATCTGATCGTGCCTCCTGATCCACCCAGGCACAGAATAATTACACTCATTTTTTTTGAGACAGAGTCTTGCTCTGTCACCCAGGCTGGAGTGCAATGATGCAATCTCAGCTCACTGCAATCTCCGCTTCTCAGGTTCAAGTGATTCTCCTGCCTCAGCCTCCAGAGTAGTTGGGATTACAGGTGCCCACCACCACACCTGGCTAATTTTTATATTTTTAGTAGAGACGGGGCTTTGCCATGCTGGTCTCAAACTCCTGACCTCAGGAGATCTGCCCATCTCAGCCTCCCAAAGTGCTGGGATTATAGGCGTGAGCCACCACGCCTGGCCAATTACACTCATCTTAATGCTGCTGCCTGGTGGGTACAGAACTGCAGCCACTAGCCTACTTTTCTTCCCCTGGTCAGACCAATCCTCAGTACTCTGTAGGTAAAAAGATGGTGAAAAACCCTACATCTCATTTACTGTCTTTTGGGAAGATACAGAATCAATCCACACTACAGAGAAACTCTTAGTTTGTGATTTGCAAGATCAGTGCCTCTACAACCCAAGTTAAATATTGCAAAGCAAAATGAAGACATACCTTCAGGAAGACATCCAGGTCTATCACTCCCCTCCTCAAAGCTTCTCCCAAGTAAAAGATGGTGTCTTCAATAGCGTTTTCCTCTGCATACAGATTCAGGATCTGTTTGTATAAGGGAGCTGTGGGAATGATAACTTCATCGATATCATTGTTTTCAGACTGATTTTCCATTTTCTCCAGAGCAGAGCTGAGTTCTTCATCCTTCTTTTTCAAAAGTTCTATGTTTTTATCAACCTCAGCCTGAAAACACAACAGTCCAAGCGTTATTAATTGTATATAATGATCCACTTGTCAGACATCTACAACACTTCACAGGAAAAGACAGACTAATAAACCATGTTTAAACAACTCATGGATGAGAATAACATTTCAAATAACACTGTGGTCAAATGTAGAGGAAAAGATGTGGTCTACTATCCTGAATGAAATACAGTAGTGATGGAGATATCCTGAGCTGAGAGCACTTCCAGTGACAGTAACAAGCTTGTCACTCGTCAGTATCACAAATGATACTGCAAACTAAACCATCAGACAAGATACTTTCCAGTAGGAGGTTCCTTTACATAGAAAATCAAAAGGGGTTTTCCTTCCCCACAAGTGGGCGTCTGCCATAGGAGAGTAACTTTCCCCTGTCTATGAAGAGGATTCAATGCAGAAGCCCAAATGTCACAATGTATCGCATGCAGGTGGCAATTGTAGGCGCTGAGTTATACTGCTGTCACTTTCCTGAATTCTAAAAATTGGCTACTTTTGAAGCTCACTGTACAATCTAGAACCACTCTGTAAGGCTAATGTGTACATACAAATCATTTTCCTCAACTTAGCCCTCAACTTTCTAAGAATTCTTTACTCTTACATCAGAAAAGCACATTTAGTTAAATAAATTCTCCCTCATGGGGATGAAAATGAGAGTGAAGCTGGCACTTCAATTATGCTGATGCCTTCACTTTATCATTATTAAGCAAAGCCATGGGGCTGACTTACACATGGATTCTCCAAGGCACAGGTGTCTGCTGTAAATATGAGAAAGCTTAGAGAGCTGAAGGATGCATATGCTACGTTTACATGTAGCTCTTTAGCCAACCAAATATTTCTGGATTATTAAGTAAGAAAGTTCCCTAAAGATACTTTTAAAAATGGCTCACATAATCTTTGGAAACAATAAAATAATACTGTCCTTTTAAGTCTGCACCTAACATCTGCAGATCTTTATCATGGCTTAGAACTCTCTAAACTTATTTCCTGGTAACTGGCAACATCAAGCACTCAAACAGCCCTCCTTTGGGTTAAAACATCATTTCCTAGGGGAAAGGTGTGATATGGTTTGGCTGTGTTCTCGCCCAAATCTCAACTTGAACTGTATCTCCCAGAAAGGGACCTGTGTGTGTAGGGCAGGTAATTGAATCACGGGGGCTAGTCCTTCCTGTGCTGTTCCTGTGATACTGTATAAGTCTCACAAGATCTGATGGGTTTATCAGGGGTTTCTGCATTTGCTTCCTCCTCATTTTCTCTTGCTGCCGCCATGTAAGATGTGCCTTTTGGCTGGGTGCAGTGGCTCATGCCTGTAATCCCAGTACTTTGGGAGGCCAAGGTAGGTGGATCACCTGAGGTCAGTAGTTTGAGACCAGCCTGGCCAACACAGTGAAACCCTGTCTCTAATGAAAATACAAAAATTAGCTGATGTGGTGTTGGGTGTTTGTAATCCCAGCTACTCAGGAGTCTGAGGCAGGAAAATCGCTTGAACCCAGTGGGCAAAGGTTGCAGTGAGCTGAGATCATGCCACTTCATTCTAGCCTGGGCAGAAGAGTGAGACTGTCTCCAAAAAAAAAAAAAAAAAAAATGTCTTTTGCCTCCCACCATGATTCTGAGGCCTACACAGCCATGTGGAACTGTAGGTCCAATTAAACCTCTTTGTCTTCCCAGTCTCAGATATGTCTTTGTCAGCAGCATGAGAACGGACTAACAAGGTGCAAACAAAATGCTCTAAATATGATTCCCCTCCCAACTAAAGACCAAATGCCAAACACAGTCTCCACTGTAAACAAAGCTATAAAAAAAAAAATTACCTTCAAATATCTAAAGATGCCTATAATTTTCTGAACTCCTACTATGCCCACAACATCCAGGGTACATATAGAACACTTTGCCATGGCTACAATTCAATCCAAATTTTTTTTTTTTTTTGAGACGGAGTTTCACTCTTGTTACCCAGGCTGGAGTGCAATGGCGCGACCTCGGCTCATCGCAACCTCCGCCTCCTGGGT